CCATCCTGTAGATTTGTTTGACTGTCACATTTATTCACAAATAATTAAAATAACATCAGCAAGTCAACACAGGTACAATGTTTAGATTTGTTTAGCTATCACATTTATTCACCAATGATTGAATTAACATCAGCAAATGTACATAGGTACAACGTGTAGGAATCTGATATATGTTTAACTATCACATTTATTTACAAAAAATTACAATAACATTAGCAAGTGAACATAGGTACAATGTGTAGATTTGTTTATCACATTTATTTACAAATGACTGAATTAACATCAGCAAGTTTACATAGGTACAACGTGTAGATGTGTTAAACTATAAATTTATTCACCAGTAACAGAATTAACATCAGCAAGTGTATATAGGTACAAAGTGTGTATGTGTTAAACTATAAATTTATTCCCCAGTAACTGAATTAACAGTAGCAAATGTACATAGTTGCAATGTGTAGATGTGTTTTATCACATTTATTCAAAAATGATTGAATAGCCATCAGCAATTGTACATATGTATATTGGAATGTCATTTTTTATTCACCAGAAACAATTTTTAAAACTCTTTTGTTACCAAGTAGTGTGTCACACGTGATTGATGGTATAAACCACATAATTTCTTCTTTCCTAGTCTTCTGTTATATTAACCCGCTGTACCCCATTACGAAAAACTCTAGACACAAAATTAGACACTTTTGAAAATAAATGCCTTAGAAGAATACTAAATTTCAAATGGTCAGATTTCCGAACCAATACACAAATAAGGCAAGAATCCAGGCAAGAGTATGTGTCTAATTTTATACGAAAACGCCGCTGGAACTATGTCGGCCACGCCCTTAGAATGGATAAATCAAGACTTCCTTATCAAGCCCTCATTTGGACACCACAGGGGAAAAGATCTTGTGGAAGACCAAGGGAAACCCTACGTAGAACTATCATCAGGGAAGGCTCGCTCATGGGCCGCTCAAACATCCAAGACCTACAACGGGTTGCAACGGACCGCCGTGCATGGAGAGTCGCGACCTCTGCCCTATGTGCCGCACTCGACACAAGAGGAAAGACTAACTAACCCCATTACTTAAAACCCTTATGTCTCAAAGTTCAATTCATAAAGACTCAAAGACTGTTTCTCTAGAGCTAAATATTCTGGGACAGAAGGATTAGTGTAATAATTGCTTGGAAAGATTAGTAACCATGGAAATGAGGTATTAGAGAAGGGCTGCAGAAGTGATCAGAAGAGATAAAATCGGAATTGAGGTCACAGAGCCAATTCTAATTTACATACAAAGACAGCAAATGAAATGGTTTTCCCACTGAGAGAGATTGATTGCATTGTAACACCATACCATACAAGACATACACCACAAGACTAGAGAAGGATGTAAAGCATGAGGATGACCACGAACAAGATGGCAAGATGACATAAGAGAATCTTTGAATCTTTACAAGAACACAATGTGTCTGTGGTCAAGGAGATCAGAAAATCAAGAAGCAAATCTCTATATATCTCTTTCGACACCTGAAGTGCTAACAGAGGAAGTGCAGAAGAAGAAGAAAACTATTTGGAACTAAAGAAGTTAATTTTATCATGTGCATACACACGTCGATCTGTAACCCATTTTATTATCGTATGAACCTTACATATGTTACCCGTTTTATTATCATGTGAACCTTACATATGTCGATCTGTCACCAGTTTTATTATCTTGTGAACCTTACATATGTCGATCTGTCACCCGTTTTATTATCATGTTAAACTTACGTATGTCGATCTGTGACCCGTTGTATTATCATGTGAACTTTATATATTTCGATCTGTCACCCATTTTTTTAGCGTGTGAACCTCAAATATATTGATATGATACCTGGTCCTGATTACAATATTATTCACCAAGAACAATTGAATATATGAATTTGTACATAAATATGTTGAACTATCACATTTTGTCTGCTCTTTACAAATAACTGAATTAACACACCAAGCATACTATTGTTTGTATATGTGAGAGAAGGAGAGAGAGACAGATAGTTAGAAGGAGAAGAGAGACTGAGAGAGAGACAGATAGTGAGAAGGAGGAGAGAGACTGAAACAGGGGTCAGTCAGGGTCAGAGATATATGACATACAACATTACATGATTTACACCCATAAAATCTGATATTCTGACATTCTCTCAGAATAAGAGAATATGTTCCTGTATTCCACATGTGTGCTCTTGTGGTAATGTTGCCTAAAGAAAATACCCACAAGATAATGGAAGTTGTCATGTACGTATAAAAAAAATGCATATAGACTAGTTAACATGGAAGTTGTGGTGCCCATACGTCACTCTCTCACATACACGTCAGAAAGTTTTTTTTTATTTTTTTTAAACACATACAACAGAATAGTTAACACTGAGGTTGTTCCACTTATGTCAACCCCCCCCCCCCCCCCCCCAAAAAAAAAAACACACACAGGACAGAGTAGTTGACACTGAAACTGTCGTACCCATGCCTCTCACATCCAGACACAAGGTTGTTCCACTTATGTCACTCCCCCCCCACACACACACACACGATAGAATAGTTGACACTGAAACTGTCCCACCCATGTCTCTCACATCCAGACACAACAGAATAGTTAACAGGGAAGTTCTCACACTCATGTCTCTTTCTCTGAAACACCCCTTCATTCTTCAACAAAAGAATAGTTAACACTGATGTTGTCCCACCTGTCTCGCTCGCCTCACTCTCACACACACAAACAGAATAATTAACACTAATTTTGTCCTACCCTTGTTGAAAATAAAAATAAAATTTAAAAAACAGAACACTGAAGTTATCCAACCCACATAGTACAAAACAGAATTGTTAACAGTGATGTTGTTACATCCATATAACAGTCAAAGAGTGGTCAAATGTAAAACTGTCACAGTCCTATAACAAGCACCAAACAAAAACACCAAAAAACAGTCAGCACTATGGGCAACAGTAGAGCTGTCCCAGAGTCAATCAACTGCAATAGGTTTAGGTTTGGAGGATGGATCAACATCATGGCACAAGGATTGTAACCCGTAAGTGCTCAGTTCTACTTCTGACTCAAGCCTGAGTCTGAAGAATCTGAGCGCAGTGCCCGAACTCCGTAGCACTGGTGAGGATCCTGAAATACTGGAATGTCCCATGTGGGTTCTGAGGCTCCAGTTTGGGGGAGAGAAGAACAGACCCACTGCGCCACCAACAAGCATGTCCTGAAAGGCAGCTAATTAAGTTGTGATTACTTCAAAGTCAGAGCGCATCCGCCTGAGAGGTAAGGAACCAACAGTCTGCACACACATAAGCCAGATCTGTGAAACGAATGCTTGTGCAAAACTCAAGTTCTGGATCAAGACTAAAGTCCAGAAGAGGACAAACAACCAGAAATTTCTGACAAAGTTTACAGTCTGTGAACGCTGAGAAGAGAAAGAGGAATGTCCTCACTAACGTAAAAGGCACAAAGTTAAAATAATGGTGAAAGTCCCATGCACTTGACAAATACAAAGTCAACAGAATGCTCAAGTCATGAAGTGGCTCACATACACAGGGACCTAAAGATAACACTGTTTCCTCTACTGGTACGCACACATTTGTTCTTGGCCTTAACTCTTTCAACCCCAAGGAATGCATCATAGGTTCCTACCCAGAAGCCTAGCTTCCCTTGTTCTTCAACAATGGTACAACTATTGCATTTTGCCAGTCAATGGGAGCAGGTGCTTTATATTTGGGTGACTGCTTAATGACTTTAACTACTTCAGTCATTAGTATATCAGGTTCTAGCACTGTTGCTTTTTAGTCTTTGGCTGTTCTTTCCTGGCAGTCTCCTAAGGGGTTGAAGTGCTTACTGAAATATTCTCTTCATCTTTCAGCTATCTCTGGTGGGTCTATTGATGGTTTTCCTGTTTTATTAGTAATTACTACTGTTGGGTTGTAGCTCTCATCTCTTTTTTCTATAGTTTTTTTGTACAGGGCTTACAGTGAGGTAAATGCCACAAAAATTACACACTTGTGTTAAGTACTTCTTCATCTTTAGCATTCTGAGCCTTTGAGGCACTGCTGCAGATATAACCTGCCTAGGGTGACCATATTGTTCCGTATTTGCCAGGACACTATAGTTTTTTAGGCGGGGCCATACCGCCGTGTGAGACTCTCTTTCTCTCTAACATACATGCACACACAAAACGCCAATTGACCAAACTGAGTTTTTTCTTCTTTCTTTTTTTTAAAGTACTGATGCAACGTTTGTGCCTGCCTAATTAATGATACTGTCACGGCGAAAACTGGGTGATGTGATCACTCTACACCTACCTCCATTCAACTCTATGACTGACCCTCTTTTTTCCAGCTGCTAACAAGTTTGTAGGTCTATGTTTTTCAGATAATAGTAAAAAATCTTACATTGTGTAAAGTCTTACGATGAGATCATTATTATAATTTTTTTTTAACAATGTGAAGAGCTTACAATGAAGTAAAAGTAAGTACCCTTCTCCATACCTTTAGGTGTAGTGGGCACATAGGTTTATATTTTATAGACCTGTCGGCACTACGTGGATGAAGTGGTCAACACCATACCGGTCGCCTTTACTTTGCAGGACTGTACCTGTTACATCACGACGGCTCCCTTACAATAAAATAACTGCTACAAATCACAGAATTACTTATTCTAATACACATCCATTCTACGAGGGTCATTCAAAGTAATGACCCAAATTTTATTTTTCTCACACATTGTTTGTGCAAAATGTAGGAAATGTCCCTTAACACTTTTTTCAAGCACACCTGAAGATGGTGTCAAGCACAGAGCAGGCTCTCCTTGGTTCCAGTGCTACTATGAGGGTGTCCCAGTGCTTTGATGTCAATTCTAATTTCAACGTTCAATCCTTTAACACTTTCCTGAGGTAAAAGAAGGAGGAGAAGAAGAAGAAAAGAGGAATTGAAGGAAAATAAGAAGATGCTTACATGGAAGAAAAATATTAGTGTAGTTTATTTAAACCTTCTCAAAAAATGCTAATTCCTCTAATGCAACAGTATAATCTTTCAGAGTTACTGGCCCCTGAAAATGGCCGCCCCGCAACTTATCATCCCAAGTTCCTGCTGGAATATAGATGTCTCTTTTCCACGCACCTCGGACAGTTACAGGCGCCACAAGTATGCAGTCGCCTAGGAGATACTGATCTTCTATCACCAATGCCTGCTGATCAAGTGGGGCAATCCACCACAATGGTCGAATTATTGGACTGCCGGTTTTCACACTCTCCTCTGCCAGTTCCAAAATTATGGAAACATACTGCTCTCGTATGTTCAGAAACTTTTTTGTTATGGCTACAACTTCCTTATCGTAGATCCATGGTGCGACAGAAAACTGGAGTGTGGGCAGAAATGTGTTGAGTTCTAGCCAGCGAATGTACAGTTCTCTGTCAGGGTAAGCTCCGCCCTTAAACGTAACCATGTCAGCGTAAGCATTTCCTCCAATCATATCAGCCAACACAAACGGGTAACCAATGATTCCCAAAGTTAGAACCGCAGGAATCACCGAAGGCAACCCTGCCTGTCTGTCCCAGTTGGACATCCGGTCCATGATCCGCACAAACATGGGTAACCTTTGACTGTTCCAGCCAACTCGAACCTCCTGCCTACGGGAGATTGGGTCTGAGTTGTAAGCCAGTTCTGCCCACAGGGAGGCATACATGTTCGCGGTGGGCATATGTTGGAAGGTGTGATGTGAGTGCGGGACGAAGTGAGCCTCCCCGGCATCAAACTGAAATGAGAAATGTCACATGCAATTTAAATATTATTTCTGGGGGAAGTGGAATTTTTAAATGTTACCAGATGGCTGTGCAAAATTTAAATCATAAAAAATGCTGGATGGCTAAATAACACCAGAATTGTAAAAGCTATCTTATGGCAGAATGACACTTAAAATACAAACACTACTGGGTAGTTTAATTACACTAAAATATAAATACTTCTCTAGATAGTTAAAACACACTTAAACTATAAACACTACTAGATGGCTAAATGAAATTTAAACTAAAAACACTACTAGATGGCTAAATGACACTCAAACTATAAACACTACTACTAGATGGTTACAAACATAACCTTAGTGATTGAATCCAATTTCAAAATCATTCCTACTGCTTGCTTCTCATCTTTATCAGCAACAGTTTGTAATCAATCATTTGTAATAGTTTTCATTTGTCTGTAATAGTTTTAATTTGCTGTAATAGTTTCTATTTTTCTGTAACTGCTTTCATTTTTCTTAAAAGTTTCCATTCGCCTGTAGCAGTTTTAATTTGTCTGTAACAGTTTCTATTTGTCTGCAATGGCCTTCATTTTTCTATTTGCATATAATAGTTTTCATTTGTGTATATTATTCATTTGCCTATAAAAGTTTTCATTTGTGTGTAGTAGGTTACATTTGTCTGTAATGGTTTTAATTTTTTTTCCTGTAAGAGATTCTATTTCTCTGCATCAGTTTTCATTTTTCTGAAAAATATTTCTTACCTTGAATGAGGTGACATTGTAAACTTCACGAAGTCTGTGGAGTTTATTCTGGTACCAGATCACAGCCGCAGGATTGGTAACATCCAGCAAGGCTGCCATCTCATCATTCCACCATCTGGTTAGAGCTGGGATCTCGGATCCCTATATAAACAATACATTTATGATTACCCTAAAATAAGAAAGCAGTGACTCTTAGTTTCAATACTTTTTCTTCCTCTACAATCGGCCTGAATTTGTTTCAGTATCAGTCCTCAATTACTTGAATTCTTGAAAACTTCTAGTTTTACCCCTTCACCCTGAGCAGCAGCAACAAAAATAACAAATTTACACTCCCATTTGTGTCCAGTTTCCCATAAATGTCACTTTTCCGACTTGCCGATCCTGACCTGTTTATGATCTGTTTAGTTAATGCAATTGGCTGAGGTCGCGCCTGCCCAAACGTTGAGGAGGTCTGGATATGAATAAATTACTTAACAATAGCATTTAGGTGGGTTGTTCTTTGTGTTAAAGAGATTTATTCTTTTAAGCCAAGATGATGTAAGATTTTTTAACAGCCTCAATAGTAAAGCCACACAGCACTTATTGGTTACTACCCTTGTTCCATGATGTTGATCCCTTGTATAAACCATAAACCAAACTTACCTTTAACATCACACTTAAACGCAACTTACGGTCTACATGTGACAATACACTTAACCTACCATTAACACAACAAACTACACACAATTTGCCATCAACGCAACTTACCCTCAACATGACAAAATATTTGTTGTGAAAACCTTCAGTAAAAGCATCTGCCTTGAGATTAATGAATGGATGGGTCCACAAACTGACAGGGAAACCTTTGTTACTGAGATCTTCCATCATTTTCTTGGGATCTGGGAACTTGATAGGGTCAAAGTCTAGATCTCCGTAACGAGCTGTCCAGGCATCATCAATTTCCAGCTGGCTGGCCGGCAGTTTGTGAGCAAGGATTGTATCTGTGGTGGGGGAATTATGAAAGAGGGTTGCATCTGATTTCAGGGAATGATATAGTTTATGAGAGAGGACTGTAACTGTGGTAAAGGAATAATATAGTTTATGAGAGAGGAATGTATCTGTGGTGAAGGAATGATATAGTTTATGAGAGAGGATTGTATCAGAGGTGAGGGAATGATTTAGTTTATGAGAAAGGATTGTAGAGGTGAAATAATGATATAGTTTACTAGAGAGGACTGTACCTGTGGTGAGGGAATAATATAGTTTAAGAGAGAAGATGCTATCTGTGGTGAAGGAATGATATTGTTTATGAGAGAGGATTGTATCTGTGGTGAGAGAATGATATAGTTTATGAGACAGGATGGTATCTGTGGTGAGAGAATGATATAGTTTTATGAGACAGGATGGTGTCTGTAGTGAGAGAATGATATAGTTTATGATACAGCAGTGTATCTATCATGAGAGAATGATATAGTTTATGAGATAGGATTATATCTGTGGTGAGAGAATGATATAGTTTTTGAGACAGGAAGGTATCTGTGGTGAGAGAATGATATAGTTTGTGAGAGAGAATAATATCTGTGGTGAGAGAATTATATAGTTTGTGAGAGAGAACCATTTCTGTGGTGAGAGAATGGTATCTGTGGTGAGAGAATGATACAGTTTGTGAGAGAAAATAGTATATGTGGTGAAAGAATGATATAGTTTGTGGGACAGAATTGTACCTGTACAGTTTGTGAGAAAGAAGTCACAGTGCATCTGCCTGGGAGCTGAGGAACCAGCAGTCTGCATAAAAATAAGCAAGATCGATAAAACGGAAGTGCACGCAAAACTCAACTTCTGAAACAAGAAGTGGATCAACAATCAGAACTTTCAGCTGGAGTTCACAGCCTCTGAACATGAAGAAGAAGAAGAAGCCACAGACACTGATGTACATAACCACACAAGACTAACCTGCAAACTCCAAGACTGCAGCTTGACTGATGTTTCTGTTGTACTGGGCCCATGTGGACCAGATGGGGTATCGGAAAAGGTCATGATTTGGTGTCCCTTCTGGTTTGGGAAGGAATCGTGTCTTCATGTAATCATAGATCTCATATACATTTTCAGCTTTGCAGACTGTGTATTCTGTATAGATGATGGGGAAAAGTGTAATGGAAATGTAAAATAGAACAGGGAAATAACGATTAGAGCAATACACAACACACACAAATGAGAACTGTCAACAGTAAACTAACAGAAGACATGGTAAACTGAAAATAAAACTAAGAATTACTAACTGACAGAAAACGTGGTATACTGTTAACTAACAAAAGACCATATAACTAAAAGACAACAGATAGTTAATTAATAAAACACAAAGTAAGTTAACTAACAAATAATGTGGTACATAGTTAATAATGAAACATTAAAGTAATTAGTTGACTTGACTTGACTTAAGGGCCCTGTTCCAGACCATCTGGCGTATCAGTCATACAGAGCTAGACACATATTTTATAGACCAGTCAGCTCTCGGTCAACATCACGCCGGCTGCCTTTACTTCCCAGACTTTATCTGGTACCCACTTGAGCCTGGGCCGATCTAGCAGCCAAGGTCACTTTGGGGGGAAAAAAAGTCTGGCTTTGTTAGAGCCTGAACCCACGACTTCAAGATCCACAGGTGAGTGTCTAGCTGCTACACCAGGGCAGCTTTCTAAATAATGAGTTCAATAGCAATATATAGAATAAGGTTAAGTAAGATAAAACATGTTAAATAGTTTACTAAAGCAAAAGGATCTTTTCATGTGGACCCATCATGCCAGTATATGGTGCATGTGCATCATTCCCATCATGCCAGTATATGGTGCATGTGCATCATTCCCATCATGCTATTATATGGTGCACGTGCATCATCTGCCAGTATATGGTGCATGTGCATCATTCACATCATGCCAGTATATGGTGCATGTGCATCATTCACATCATGCTATTATATGGTGCATGTGCATCATCTGCCAGTATATGGTGCATGTGCATCATTCACATCATGCTAGTATATGGTGCATGTGCATCATTCACATCATGCCAGTATTTGGTGCATGTGCATCATCTGCCAGTATATGGTGCATGTGCATCATCTGCCAGTATATGGTGCATGTGCAACATTCACATCATGCCAGTATATGGTGCATGTGCATTGTTCACATCATGCCAGTTGCCTTGCTTCCCAGGACATATCCTGGCACCCATTTTAGACTGGATCAAACTGGGAGCTCTGGTCAATTGTGAAATTCCTTCTCAAGGCAGAACCAAATCAAAGACCTTCATCATGGCATGCAAACATGCATAGTTAACAAAACAGAAAGCAGAATGCAATGAACTGCGTGCATTAGGTAATCAGGTACCCCGAAAACAGCAGGCAGAAGATGTATTAAAGAAGTTAAATGTATAACAGCTGAAGCGAAGACAACATTTTACAAAATGAAGAATATTCTATGCAGTATCATACTGTCTTCTGCATTCTTTGGTCACGTCATGAGAAGGGGAAAACTGGAGTAGACTGTGACTGTGAGAAGTTGGAGGGGGAAAGAGGCAGGGGGAGACTGAGAGAGAAAATGCTGGACAGTTTGACATCATGGTATGGAAAATCATCTGTGTCAGAATTGATTAAAAGTACACAAGACAGAAGTTTGTAGATAGACATGACTAAAAACGCTACATGACATGGACTATAAGAAGAAGAATAAACTGTAACAGTCCTCACCAAGTACAGGTGGCTTCCCAAAATAGCTGGAATAATGTGCCCCATCGTATGCCCCTGCGAGGCAGATCTGCCCATCCCGGTGTTGATTGAAGCTGAGATACAGCGGGGAATCCTGGGATACCATAATACCAACTCCAGAGGAAGAGAAAAACAATCTACAACAACAACAGATGTAATTATCAGCAATAAAAGATGGTTGAAACATTGAGGCTCTGCTTCTTGTCACTGTTTTTTTCTTCTTCTTCTTCTTTGTGCTCACCCTTAAGGTGACAGTTGGCACATTATGTTGTGGTTTACAGCTAGGCTGCAATATATCTGCATTTCAGTCTAATTTCAGCCAATCCAATTTCAGCAATCCTAACTGATCGCTTCACAACATTCTCCCACTCCCCCCCCCCCCCCCCATCCCAAACAGGGCCCCTCAACCCACACAGGGAGGTCTCTAGTTTTATTTATTTAATTCAACAAAATTATTTTAAAACGCGCACACATCTCATTTTAATGGACAATAGGGTGGGAATTTCAGTCCAATATTACTGACTGTCCATAGTTAAACTGCAATAAGATCTGTAGAGGCTAGTAGGTTGGTGTCTGTGGCTTCCCAGCTGCAGGTAATTTGGCAGCAGACCGCCTTGCATTGGGTTTGACAGTGGTATTTACAGCCGACCATCCAGAAAGCAATGACAAACTACTATATGTTAATTCACCTAGAAAAATAACAACAGCAAAAAATTGCTGGGGTTGGCTCTGCAACGTCCTTTAAAGGATACACAGTTAGTTAGTAAGTAAGTTAGTAAGTTAGTTGGGTTATCATCATTGCACTCCGGACATGTCCATAGGTGCTCAGATCCTTCCCTCAGTATGAACCCCAACGTCCGATGGCTAATAGTACCAGTTCTATGTTGATTAACAAGTCTTCTGGCGTGTCTGGTGTGCGTCTCATTTTTTGCTGTGCCGATCTTAATTCCCAAGTCTGCCATTCTGGAGAGTGATGTGGATTTACTGCCCCCAAAGTCCTCTATCCTTCCCATTTCTCTGAGGGCATTAATAATATCAGCATGATCCATAGAAAGGATACACAACTGTAACTTAATAGACTAGTTGAAAGAACAATGTGAAAAAAGTAGAAAAGGAATAATGCTTTTCATCAAGTGACAATTTTCTTCTTCGTATTCACCGGCTGTAAAGTTCTGGTTGTACGTCCAATTCTTGTTCCAGAACCTGAGTGTTGTGTGCACATCCATGTTACAGATGTGGCTTATTTGTTTGCAGACTCTTGGTTCTTTGTCTCTCAAGCACTCTGACTTCAAAGGCAGCCCCCACTTAGTCGACTTCTAGGACATGCTTGTTGGGGAGGCAGTGGGTCTAGTCTTGTTTCGTAACAATAGGGCTTGGAATCCACTTGGGGAACAACCTGACCATGTATACTGACAAATACCTGTACACTGTAAACAATATTTTTGTTTAGTGTTGCCACAAAACCATCCCATCCATGGTGTATATTTTAAAATGAGAGAAAAAAAAAGACTAAATTTGCTGTTCCAGATTTTGTCTGTCCATTGCTTCCAATATTTCTTAAATTAGCGGGGGTTTAGCGGTCAGGTGGTCCATAAACCCTTTCCCATGTTTTGCCAGTTCAGGGTGTAAAATGGATGAAGAACACTGCTGTAAAATATTACCCAGAATTCTTATATCCTCTAAAACACCCATGGAACATTATCCTTTGATACTTCCCACAGAACTCTCTTATCTTCTATAAAATGCTTCATAGAACATACCTGTACCATGTAAAACTGCCCATAGAACACTGTTAAATTTTTTTTTAATGACCCTTGAAACATTTTTGCATCCTCTAAAACATTACATATAATTCTCGTATTCTCTAAAACATCCCCCAGAACGTCCCTGTTTCAGAGAGAACTCTCTTCTATTCTCTAAGATGCTCCATAGAACATTCCTCTAAAACAAGAGGCAGGAATTAATCATTGTGATCTCAAAAGAATGGTACAGCTGGGAGTGGCCAGGGGATCTGGTCGACACTCTACACACAAAGGAAACACAAGACGAACATATAATAACTGTTACTGGCACTATCGGAATTGGTTCTAGGTGCTGGCTGCTGAAGATGAGGATGGAGCGCTTATGGGAATGTCTGGAGTGCTGTGATGTCGGTATTTAGCTCAACACTTAACAACACTCTAGAACAGGGTTGTTCAACTAAGTTCACTTAAAGGCTAACATGTGGAAATGAGGATCGTGTCGGACCAGGGATCCGGAGGCCTTGTATAGAAAGATGATTATTACAATTCAACTGCCAATGATCTTCTTGCATGCCACTTGCAAGGCTTTCATGGGCCAGATTTGACCCACAGGCCACTAGTTAAATAGCCTTGCTCTAAACCATCCCACAGAATTCTTGTTTTCTCTAAAATATATCCCTGAACTCTTTCACTCTTCAACAATCTAAAACTTCTACTAGCAGTCTCACCTTTCTAAAACATTTCCCAGCTCTACTTTATGAACTCCAAAATCTCCCGACACATAAGGCCCAAAGACTATGTCCACCCCATCTAAGACCAGTTCCTGCTCCTCGGAAAGCAAGATTATACCATCTTCAATTTGGACGGCCTTCTTCAATGGCCAAGTTTGACTGACTGCTTCAAAGCCACCGTACCAGTGACTGTCTCCCAGGTTGTAGCAATCCTTCACAACTTGATTCACACAGCGAAGTCCTGATCTTGTGACCTGTGATAAGGTACAATTTTAGTGGTATGTTGCAGTGTAATATACTGCAGTGATACACTGTAGTGATAGTAGCAAAACAGACAAAAAACATTACAAAGAAACACAAAATATTTTCTTTGAATAAAAAGAAAACAGAAAGTGATTATGTCAACAACAACAACAGCAACAAATAAAAGACAACTACAGAAAAGTAATGTTGCAAAAGAAGAAAAATGCTATTATCTTTCTATCCCAAGTAAGGCACTATATGTAACTAAATACTTGTTTATGTGAACGAATCAATATGTTTGTATATCTTTTTATATCTCATGTTCAGTGATGGAGACTTTCAAAAATTCCAGACAAAATTTTTGTCTCTTACAAGGATTGTGTATTCGGGCCCTGTGGATGCAGTGTACCCATGAATGTAGTGATGTCATCTTGTCTCTCTTAGACACAAGTTAGGGCCATCAGAGAGTGAAAACGTTATCACAGTCAATAAATTAGAACACTGACAAATGGACCTCTCGTATTTTCAAAAACCTGTCAGGGACCCAATACCTTTTAACTCTCTGAGGACTTTTTAACAAGAAAACTGGCGTATGAATTTATCCCTATCGGACTAGTCGCCAGTATACGGGCGTATCATAGAGACACTCTAGTTTTGTTCCATTTGTGGGGAAAACGAACTTTCATAAACAAGTTTTTGAAAAATTTGGATTAACAACAGGAAGTCCTTTTGTTTGTGATGTCCAACATGGCTTTTGTGTCACTTTCTGATTGTTTACAAATTATTTAGATGTGATACCATTTTCTGTGTGATTTTTCTATACTAAATGATAAGGGAAAAGGTCTAGAACTGTTCTTACTGCTCTGCTGTTGATGAATCTCTGCCAGATGGTGACAACAGTCGTGATATTATGATTGATATCTAAGTGACAAATCTACTAGCGATAATTTAGTTTAGGCTATGAAAACTGAGATCAGATCAATAAGATCATCTGTTTCAATCAGCTGTTTTCCCGATTTTCGGTTGTCGTGAAATCTGACAAGTCCAATAAAAATGATCATAACATCCAAAGTATTTAAATTAATTGTTTCAAATAAAGACTAGCTGATACATAATTGAACAGAGAAGGCATGTGCATTCTTAGAATTGGATAGCAGTGTTACTGAACAAGTAAAAAAGTAAGGTAAGCACAATATTTTGTGTGTGAATAATCTTCACGTGTCTAACATCCTTGAATGTTGTGTGATTTTAATAATATTTTATTCTATTACTGGCACTTAAATAGTTTAGATGTATTCTGTACTCATTTATCTTTAATTTGATATATTATATGTTCTGATACAACCAATACTTTTTTCTTCAGGTAGGTTTTAGCTTTGTCATGTTGCAGTAAAAAAAATTCTGCTCAGAATTAATGCTGTCCAAACCCCAGAAAAAATGTGGTCCTGAGGGGAGGCAATCAAAGCACCCAAGCAAAGACAAGACAGAAATATAAAAATATGAATACCAAACACTAATTAGAGATTTACTGAAATCTGTAGGGCAGTTAGGCACAAATATCGCAACCTAGTTGTAAACCACAATACAAGGTACCAAATGCCTTTTTTTTTCAGGACAAAAGAAGAAGAAGAAGAAGAAGAAAAAAAAGAAGAAGAAGAAGAAGAAGAAGAAGAAAGTGGAGGAGGAGAAGAAGAAATGTGGAGTTAATAGAGAAAGAATTTGTAAAATTCCAGTGAATCAAGAGATAAGGAAAAGATGCAGACAGTAAAAACATGGTAATAATATAACTAGAAACTCCATGCACTAGAACCACAGAAAAAAATGTAAGTCTAAAAATATCTAGACAAGAGAAACAGGCAGAGATGTTTATGAATAAACAATAATAATATAACTAGAAACTCCTTGCACTAGAACCACAGACAAAAAATGTGAGTCCAAAAATATCTAGACAAGAGAAACAGGCAGAGATGTTTATGATGGAGACATGGAGCGAGCTGCATGCGATGGCAAAGAACAGAATAACCTGGGATAAATCGGTTGCATAATTAGGTATAGAAGTAGACAGAAGAAGATAAGGTATTTACCCGATGACAGGTGACCCCTTCCACGCCGCTGTCATCTATGACAATTTTGATCAGCTGGTTATGTGGGTCCTCCAGGCATCCACTTCTGGCATCATTCTGTTGGTTGGGGCAGTACTCGGGCACAACCCAGTCTTCTTTACTGAAATCACTGCGACCTCGGTAAATAAAACAAGTGAGTATAATTACAAGTCAAGACACTTAGGTCCATCTTTAGATATTTCTTAAAACAGAGTCCACAAAACCAAAGCATATGTGCACAGACAATATTTTATAATGGATTTTAATTGACAAATATCAGCATTAAATTTCACTGCATTGCTTTTCTAGAGAGGGTTAGTTTGTTATATTCAGACAAAGGACAGGGCACAGACTTTGTCAATTATGATCACACTTTTCGGTGTAGGAGACACGGAGACGTGTCCATGCAGCATAGCATCAGAAAATGCCGAGCATTTGCACCAACACTGTCAACAGTGTGCTGCCAACAGAGACGCAGTCTGGCCTGTTCCAACCACAATGAAGACAAAACTGTATGGTACACAAGTAGATATTGACTGCACAATAGCTTTTATAAAGGCTACCGACCTCCTGATATTAGTTTTTTGACATAAGGATTAAAGAAGAAGCATTAAATTAAAAAAAGGACACTGCATATGATAATAATCAGTGCCACCAATTGAGCACTGGACTACCAACTATTCCTCCCCACAACGCTTGAGAGGGAAGTGACAGAAGAAGATGATGATGATGATGATTTTTTCATGTCTGCTGTCAGAATTTATTTCAGGTTGAAGACTAAAGGCCTATAAATGGCTTTGTAGTGTATATTCTTTGTAACAATGATCCCCTTACCTACAAGAAATGGCTGTCCATTCTTGTCTGTGAATGTGATAACAAGATCCTCAGTAACTGTTACACCAGGCAACCATAGGACACTGGGAGCAAACAGCATCTGCTTGCTGAAGTAGAGGAACAGACTACACAAAGGCACCATGTAAGCCAGCCGCTGGAGGCTGGACCGCTCTATGGTAATTGTGTCTCGACTTGCCATGGTGCCTGAAATTATACAATGAAAGTCACAAATACTAGGCAGAATAAACCATTTTTAAAAGAAAACAATGTTATAATACAATCAGAAGTTAGTTAGGCTGAAGGTTGACCAATCAGAAGTGAGCTAGTGTGTATATGGGCGGTCGGTGGGGAGACCATTGTAACTATTACCACAGATTGTTATGTTTACTATATTTTAAGTGTACTTCTCAAACTAATATAATCTTTGAGTCGCAAGAAACGCATCATACGCTCCTACCTAGAAGCCCCAACGAACGCAGGATGCGCTAATTTTACATCTCTCTTGACTACCCTTGGGTCTCCGATGCTAAACCCCCAGGACTTACAGAGAATATGTAGATTTGTTGTTTGTTTCAAAAGCAACAGTGGCAGGAATGCTCATAACAGACAAAGCAGACATTCTGAAGATCAACTAATAAATGCTGAGGAAATATACACTGTTAAATGGTACAATATGTGTAAGGTTACAAGAATGTGGTACTTAGTGGGGACCTGCAATAAAGGAGATATAAGAGGAAGTGTGTGAAATGTGTACAACAAGTGTTCAAGTGGAACAGACAGCATTCTACACTTTACAACATGTGCTTTGGGAGACAGAACATCTGTGGTCTATGGCTATGGTATGTCTAGTAGAACAATACTAACTATTAACTATACTCACACTAGAACTAATAATGACAATGAACTGTGTCCATTCTTAAAATATTATTCATTGTTCATTATTTAGTAACAATAAGAAAAATTTGCAAAATTAGAAAGTCAACAATAAAGAAATCAAAGAACTGAACAAGCAAGAAAGTCCAAAGTACATAAAACCGAGATACAGTGCGAACTTGATGAATCATGTCGTGTAACAACAACTTCAAGCACAAGTTACAGTACACAGTCAAATATATTTTCAAGCAAACCCCAAATAACACATATGATTAAATCAACCACAGTTACACACAAAAATCAACGGAAATTTGAGCGACTTATGATGCACTTACAAGAATTTCCCTGCGTTTTTTACGTATTTGCTGACAGAAAGCTGACAGCGAGATAAAAGTTTGTTGTGGTAGGGTCCAGACTTTTGGTGGTCTTTCTTTTCCCCCTCGGTTTAGTAGGGAAACAGACGTGACCTCTTCTGACCTCACAGTTCGATACCGTAATCGTAATGATGTTGTGCTCGGTTAGTAGTAACAGCAGTAGTAGTAACAGTAGCAGCAGCAGTAATCAGTAACAATATAGCAGCAGCAATAGTAGCAGCAGAAGTAGTAGTTTTAGTAGAAGCAGCAGCAGTATTAGTAGTCCCCATAGGGTTCACTGGGCCAATCGCGGATAGGGTTACCATAAAGCTATTAATATTTTGAGCTAAAAGAGATTACCACAAAACAGCTGCCTATTCAGAGCTTATGAAAAAGACCAGCATAGGTACCTTTGGAATAACTGATGCATTGGAGGACTGAGCGTGCATAGGAATGCCCAATGTGCACTGGATATCAACTGACGGTCGGCTGACAGTATCGATTACACAATGACCGTAAAATGATTGTTTAGGTTACGCGACCATGACCCGTAATAGGTCATAGTTCATGCAGTGGGTACCGTGCAGATCAGAGTCCAAACTATTATTTTTTTTTTACACTCTAAAACACCAACATTTCCCACAGTGGGTTGCGGGTCCAATTTCTGTTAACAAAATAACACACCCACTGACCCTAATGAGCACGTCGTACTCATCTCATCTTGATTCTATGGTACCTTGCGATGTCAGTGTATACGTGCGGTAAAAATAGCAATTCATATATGCAACAAACACAGTAATTCATGCATGCAATAAACACAGTAATTCACGCACGTAGAAAGGGGAAAGTGGATTAAAAGGAGAAGGTTAGTTGCGTATCCTTTACAGCCCCTGGCTGTTGTGTGGTTTTTCTAGGCAAATTTGCGTCCAATAGTTTGCCATTGCTTTCTGGACGGTCTGCTTTCTTGATACCACTGTCGAAACCAACGCAAGGCGCATGACCCGCAGCTGGGATCGAACCCGGCATCCTGGCATTACGAAGCGTTCGCATCGACTTAGCCACATAGCCGACAAGAGGAGAAGACAGAGGAGAATAAGAAGGAGGAGAAAAGCAGAGGAAGAAGCTACAATTGGTATAGGAAAATATCCGGGAAAGTAAAGACGACTGGTGTTGTAATTGACCACTTCATCGACTATGGAGTGCTGAGTGGTCATAAGACAAACGGGAGAGATGTGTGTGTGTGTGGGGGGGGGGGATAAACAAGGGAAATCAAGGGCAGCTGCAAGAGTGGCACAGAATAGGATAATGTGGCGATAATTGGGCGATTGTCTACGCTCCGCTGGCATATAAGAGCATAAGAATCTTGAGAAGAATGGCTGCTCTATGAGGTCTGCAGTTAACTTACTAACAGGTGATTAATCTCGAGAGGAACTGCTCTAGGAAGTCCGCAATGAAACGCATGATCAAGTCGCTGACCAAGACACGTTGGTGTTGTGAACCAAGGTTGGTTGCACCCAGCGAGTTATATTTTTGAAGCGAATTACGAAGTTAAAATGGACGCGTTCGAATCCGAGTATGTTGACGAGCAGCTGATATTTATGTATCTGTCGATACATAACCTATTGTCAGGCAACTCCGGAGCGAGTTTTATAGAAAACGACAGCGATTAGATTATCATATACTTCTCGTCCTTTTTTTTGGATAAAATTTTTCGTTATTTGAAGCCCTACTCTAGCTTTTGACTGGGGCCGCAATATTGACTGGACATAAATATGGCCTAAAGACTGAACGCGGTTTCTGGGACCTCTCCACGGTGTTCCTCACCCACATGGTGGCACATCGTGTCATCGGGTGTTTATCGCTTGTGTGATGTCCTGGTGGGGTAGAAAGTCAGTCAGCGGCTACCATTTAGCTATGAAGGATGCAGCTACCAAGACTGACGATTTTGAAATTAATCTTAGCACGAGCAGTCCGGTGATGCCCCAGCTCTTCAAATTGTCATTATAAAGATCTCTTTTTGTTGTTGTTGCTGAGCCGGCTCTGGATGTCATCTTGAATGATACAGAAACATCAGACGTTGCTGATGAAGAAGCTGCCAACCATGCTCTGCTAAAGCAGCGGTGGACTGAAGACATCGTATATTACAATCCTTACCTCCTTTTTAGGATGAAATTTTTTTCATTTGAAGCCCCACTCTGGCTTTTGCCAGGGGCCGCAATATAGGCAGGTCATAAATATTGCCAATTGTCTGAACGCGGTTTCTGGGACCTCTCCACGGTGATCCTCATCCACGTGGTGGCACTTCGTGTCATCGGGTGTTTATCGCTTGTTTGATGTCCTGGTGGGGTAGAAAGTCAGTCAGTCAGTCAGACATCGTAGCCGCCATTCATGATAAGCGGCCGAAAGTCTTCAAGCTCTTTACAAGTCCTATGTCTCTCCAGATGATTAGCCTGAATAGTTTTTTTTTTTTTAAAGTATTTTGGGCATCCATGAACCCGTGGAGACGCCAGAGGTTGCGAAACCCAGAAATAAGAGAAGATCTCTATTTCGCTGGGCGTCAAAGCGGAGAAAGGCAGGAACCGAAGGGGGCACGACATCACCGACCCAGAGAGGGAACGGAGGAAATCTTTCTCGGAGGATTTTCTGCTGTTTCCCGTAGCGCTCAGAATAAATCAGTCTGACACAAAGGCCCTTTTTTGGGGCGCCACCATATTTTACCTTTTTAATAAGGTTTTGGTTAAAGTTATATAAAAAATACCTAATGAAAAAAGTATAGATTGAAAGAAAAAGTGATAGGGAAATAGGTGGGGAGGCAGAGAGAGAGAGAGAGAGAGAGAGAGAGAGACAGATGAAAAAGACATATAATAGACAGAAAGAGAGAGCGAATAAGAAAGAATGAGAGATGAGTACAGACTGTACATTTAAATAGATTGTCTATATTTATAATGTTATCTTTAATATGAATTTCACCTCAATAGTTGAGTTGAGTCAAGAATTGACATCATAGCACTCGGAGCATTTCCATGTGTGCTCCGTCCTTATCTTCAGAAGCCAGCACAGAGTTCCAATACTGATGGTAACGGTCACAATCTGTCACCTCAATGACACAACATTTCATTTCCACAGTTGTTTCTCTAAGCTAAATGTTTGGCCCTAATGTGTTATATTTGAAGCAGTCTTGAAGTATGTGTTCTGCTGTCTAAGGCACCAATCCACAGGTGTTCATAGTAAAATTATACCAGTCAGAAAGATTTAAATTTCAGGAGATGAGGTTATACAGAAACATAAGCTGTATTTCATGGATACAATATAAAATATAATCAGTCTGAAGGCATTAGGAATAATACACTAGTTATTAATAGAGAACTTCCCGTGTGGGTTCCTGGTCCCTATTATAGGGAAAACAAGAATACACCCACTGTCTACCCAAAAGCATGTCGTAAGAGTCGACTAATCGGGAGCTTCTTTGGAAGTTGGAGTGCATATGCTTGAAAGGCAAGGAACCAGCAGTCTGCATACAAATGAGTCAGATCTGTAAAACGGATGCACACCCAACACTCACGTTCTGGAATAGGATTGCAGTCCAAAAGTGGATTAACAACCAGAACTTTCCACTAGAGTTTACAGCTGGTAAACATAAAGAAGAAGACAGAGAGCTACATGAAATATGTTGGCCATTTGAATGACAGTTTTTTTTTTTTTTTTTTAAAAGGTGGTTGTGTAACCTTTTAAAACATTGAAAGACCAATGCCAGCAATTTTTGTGTGTGTTGCTGTTTGTGATTTAATTAGGTAATGTATATTCAGTAGTTTGCCAGTCTACATACTTTAGTAATATGATGAGAAGGAGAAAAACTGGAGTACTTCGTGGTAGTAGGGAAGTTGCAGAGGAGGAGAGGCAGAGGGAGAGTGAGAGAAAAGATGCTGGACAGTCTGACATCATGTCATGGCAGATCATGTGTGTCAGAGCTGAT